GTTGAAAGAACAAAAGGGCGAATCAAAGCCGTGATGCATAAAAATCGAGCGGCTCATGGCGTAGCGCCAATTCAACAGCTGCTATATTCTTCTTTTGCCACTCCAGGATGACCGGCTTACTTCCTAGAGCCAAGGGACTATTTCTGTAGCTTGAGAATAGCTCAATCCTTACATTATATCCTCTTGTGATCGAATAAAGATGGGAGAAGGCGAGAAGGGCTGGGAGGGGGGGGGGCATTACAAGGATGAGTGTGTATCATAAAGATGTTCGAATAAAGGCCAACATCTCACTGTTTCTGCATTGGTCAGCCGAATCCGGTGGTCGCTCCCGTCCGAAAATTGGAAATACCGTAATCTATCAAAACTTTTGCACCCAATGCACTCTCTCATAAGAGATGAAACTATGATATTTAGTTTATTTCATAATATTCAGTTGTTAGTTAACACTAATTAGAATCCTTAATTGAATGTCGCTTAACGCAGCCTGTAAAACAGAGCGCCGTTGCCGCGCTGGTCCGCACCTCCCCAACTAAGTCCAGTAGCTGGGGCTTTTTAAAAACTAGTCCGTAAGTAGAAAAAAAACAAAATGTTCTGGACGCACACTGCAAAGATCTCATGGCAGATGGTGTGGCGGAGTTATCTGTTTGCACTGTTCATGGCAAGGTGACGATCGCAGTCCAAACAATCTACGCACACATCTGAAAAAGTTCCACTCATCTGATGGAGTATTCGCCAGATTCAGCGAGAAGTTGGCACAGGTGAGTAGTCAAGTTCCATTTTTGGTACCCGATCCGCTCACCGGAGTATTCGCCAATCTAATGAAACTACTTCACTTCAGCCATGAGTCATTCAGGTAAGTGCGGCTAATGAAGCAATAGGCCAGAAAAAGGGCGGGGCTAAAATTGTCAGGAAGGAATATTTTTCGCTATGAAACTGCTTATTTGACGTTTTTTATTGAATATTGATTTTTTTCAAACTTTTCTGAATTATATAAAAGTCTCAGGTTATAGCAGAAGCATAATGAACGAACAGCCTTCCTTCTAGATATTCCTTCTTCCTATTTCTAGAATTTATTATATTTATTCATCAGTAAAACCAGGTTGCTGAAGTTGGTCGGAGATGAAGGAAATGCAAAATAATTCTGGTTCACTTGTTTCACCTCACAGCCCCGGCCGTGAGCGTCTATCCTCTCAACTATGAGATCGAGCTTTTCTAGGCTCCAAAACCCATCCTAAATGATTGAGGAAATTGAAAAGAGCTTATTCTTTGCTTACTTGGCTGTAGTCCAATTTCTGCTCACCTTCCTTTTAAGGAAACTTCTGTTGCTGGGCTCAGTTCGCCGAGCTTTCAGAAACTGTTTTCGCATTTCTTCGAGCCCTGACGCTGGATACTGTAGATATTTCGGTCCATACATAACCCCTGGTAAGCTAATTCCCTGGGTACGAGGAGAGCTAGTTGTAGAAATACTGTATATTTCGTCGGAGTTATCTACAGGTAAAATATACGCAATTGTGGCGCTCATGTCCTTGGGCGTATATTGAATGTTGGGTAGGGTCGGGACGGTAGACGGACTACTTCAACTCGGTCCTTAAAACCGCCTCAATTTGATGCTTACCTCAGGAGGTCCGCCCTCTCTCCAAGGCTTAGTCCTGGGGTAAGCAAACCAGCCCTTTGGCGGAGCTGCTGGACCTAGCTGCACCACTTCGTCATCACTCTCCTACCGTACCGACCGAGTTGAAGTAGTCCGTCGACCGTCGGGGACCCCATCCCCTCCCCAACATTCAGCATACGGTCCCAGCAGAAACGCCAAAAGGGCTGGTTTGCTTACCTCGGTAGGTGAGGCTAGGGCTGAGCCAGCAAAGGGAAGGAACGCCAGGGAGAACACAAATTGTTCACATGCCCTCCTGGTTCACTAAGGCGTAGTCCCAAGCACAGTTACGGGCTTATTCGCTTGGATATCATCCAACTCCCTTCGCCCCCCCCCCCAAGGACATGAGCGTCGCAATTTTTCAAGCCTATCCGTCGGGGTCAAATTTGACCCAAAGCAAACAGCCAAGAGCAGACCTTTACAAGGTTCAATTCATGTAGTAGCCACTTCAGATTTCAGCGGAAAACGACGGCTTGAATTCTTGTAACTGTTTGGGTTTCGCTTATTCTTTGGTCAGATGGTTACAACAACGAAGCGGAGCCGGTTTGTGGCAACGTTGTCGGGATTGAAAAAAAGCGAAGGCCCATATACCCCTTAAGAACGAACGGGTTTGACTTCGCTCCAACTACGGAATGATTACCATAAAGAGTAATGAACAAAGAGTTCGAGCTCGGACAATACTAAAACTCGCATCTTTGCATTCTGGGCACCGTGCCAACTCACTACAGTACTGAGGCTCTTTTTCCTTCAGTAACTTACCAAAACTAGTTAACCTTTGGCGGTGTAAAAAACAACTTCCAACTAACTAATCAGCTTGGCACCTGTGGTTGAATAATTCGATCATATCGTCTCAGCTATCCTGTAATTTGGCTCTGTTGAGGCCCAAGGGCAGGAGGATGTTCTGGCCAGTACACGGTGATCCACAGCTTACTTACTATTCTACAACAGATATTATTATAGCTGAACAAATAGGGGAAGCGGTTGCTCTTGCCTTGGTATTTTTGTCGTCTCCTAAATAACGAGTTTCTGATCTGCCTGTAGTTCGACTCGTCTGGCAGTCATGTGTCTCATGTTCCCAGTCCTATGCCGTGCCAGCTAGCAGCGGTTACAGACGGAACAGCGTTTTTAAAGCTCGGGAATATCAGGTGAGTCCCGATCAATGGATCGATCGTTATCAGATCAATGGAGTGGATCAAGGGACCGCTTGGAATGTCGTCATCCCATGCCTCCATGCCTGCAATGCATCGTGAGTTCGACCCCCGTGTGAGGACCACCTCAAGGTGTAACACGAATCTGATTGATTCATCGAGACGGCTCAATACGAGGTCAGCCCAGCGTCGTCGGCCCCCGTCTCTTCCCCCGCCCGCCACCAGCCGCACCATCCCCCGTCCAACCTTGAGCTCCGCCCGCCCGGTCGGGCGGGACCCATGTCTATCGATTCGCGGCCCACCACCCGTGTGACTTCATCGGGGCCTCCGACCCCGTCTCACTCTCTCACTCTCGTTCTCACATGCTCTCCATCATGGCCATGCTGTGTCGGCCCCGCCGTCCGTGTGCCGCTCTCCATCCACGCGTATCCTCTACATTTTGCCACGTCTCTCGCTTGTCCACGGTCCCCGTGCTCTCTGGCGGCGGGTTTCCCCGTCTTTCAGTATTCGATGGCCGCTCGGCTGGCAATGGCGCACCCCCGCTCTTCCTTCTATCCCTGTTTTAACAGCCACCGACGTCCCAGCGCCCGCTCAACCTCACATCTCCGCGAAAATACCTTCATGAGATCATGGAGGGCCTATTGTTGTAGATTTGTCGGTAATTCGATGTGATAGATCAACCCATTCAGTCATTCCTTGCCGCCCAACTATTTTTTGCCTCTATCCATCCTCCGTTTTTCTCATTTATTGGTTATCGACACTGAATCTACAGCGAGATTCCTGAAGGCTCTGACACAATAGAATGGTGCTATACAACTGGCGAAAACTTGTTCCTAAATTTCACAACCCGTATGGAAAATAGGCGTCAAAAAGAATATTGCTAACCCCGCTATCATCCCGGTATTCAATTTTTGACTGGGATATGAGTAGAACGTTAAATTACCAAGAAGTATCGATGGTACTCTATTCTCTTCTTCTGCTGGTTTTTTTTCCTGAATCTCAAACTTTTGTATGAGCTCAGTAACTTCCGGAGAGCTTTCATGGACATAATTCGCTACAGGCTACAAGATTTATGATGATAAATTGCGTAGTGAAAAGAAATCGTCAACCAGGTGATTCGCTAGAACAAAGAGCGACTTTTCCACTTTTGCGCGCAAAGCTGTTTTCGTTACGGGAACCCCAGGTCCACTTATGATCAGCGGTGGACCTGAGGTTCCGAAGTCGCTTCCTGTCCTAGTGAACCATAATCCGGCAGCCATTTCAGAAAGCCCCAGATCATATTCACCGGGAGGTGCATACCAGTTTTCTTGCGTTGGTCCCATTTCTTGAGATCATTGTCTGAATCGACATGGCCTATATGGAATGAATTTTCTCGACCCTGCAGTATGGTACCTAACGAAGAGAGTACCATTCCTTGGCATCAGCGGAGGGACCGTTCCAAGGGATGCGCTATGGGACCTGTCATTTCTTGTTGGGTTCTATGACGCGGTCTTTCGGAGACGCTGCTTACGGCCCTCGCAGTGAGTTTGGGCAACACTAGACTAGACTTTTTTGATCGGTCGTAGTGGATCATCTTCTTCGTTCATTATATATCCATCGAGTATGATCATAGTATCCATTCCATAAGAGCGAATGAGGTGGGAGGGGTAGCATTTGGTGAAATAACTCGTGCGCATTACGGTCATTCTAGATTTTGGCCAGCGACTCTTTGAGGAACAAATCTGCGAGTCTTTGAAGAATTTTTCCCATCTTTTTTGAGATATCAAGCAGCATTCGGCGCTGGGCGGTGCAGCGAAACATGAGCGCTAGGGTTTTCCGCTTGATCCTAGGGAAGACGCTCTGGGGGGGGGATGAAATTTTTTTTTTGCAAGAACCTTTTGCTTTTTGAACGGGTCGCCACCCCTTCCTTCATTCCTGCTTCTAGTTTCTCTCCTGTACTTGAGCTTGAGTAAAAATCCACATTCCTCTCGCCTTAGATGTTCTGCGTGATGCCCCTCCCCTCAGCCAGAGCCCGATGGTTGTACCAGTTATTTGAACCCAGCATCGCACTAATGCGACGGTATCCCTCAATATGCTGATGACGAACTCGTTGTAGATTTGATGTCGATCCTTTCCGTTGACTGTTTTTCGTGAACTCGCTCTTCTATCCTTCTCTTATCTGTTACCGTTTAGTCCGTCAGTGCTTCCATCTCCTCTAATATTCAATGGACGCATCTCCATCAACGTCGTCAATGGCCGATGACGTGATGGCCGTCGACGTGCTGTCGTCGCTTCTGAATCCGTTTGACTCGTCATCGAATGATATAAAGAAGAAAGGACAGAAAAATACGAAGACCTGCAAAAAATCGTCCGAAATTTGGGACCATTATCGTCTGTTGAATGAGAACCAGAACGTGGAATGCGTTTATTGTTGGAAAGTGCTGAAACGTGGTGACAGCAGTACGAAAAGCATGTGGGGACACATGACAGCATTTCACCAGGATGTACTGGACGATAAGCAAAGTCGAAAGAAACTTCGCGTGATGGCCGTAGAGCCAATTGAACGGAAAAAGTACACGACAACGGATGCCGAGGTGGGTGGAGCGCCGCCGAGTGTGTGTGGGAGTGGGAGAAATGTTCTTTTTTTCTGTAATAGGCGAACAATTGGTTCTCACGGCGCTTTCAGAAAGGCTTTATAGAGCAGGCATTGTCAACTAGTTCAAAGAAATTCGAATATTCAATATTGAAAGTTTTATCTCTTTGAATTTTTTGATTTAGTGGTATTTTAGTTTATTTGATGATAACCTGCGCAAAGGTTACACACAAATGAATAGATACGCGCTATCACAAGACAAGGGGGCACTGTAGTGGCAGTGCAGTTGAAACCACGTGAAACATCTCCTTTTTGTTGTAAACGAACTAAGCTTTGGGCGGGGAGGAGAGACCCTGGAGTTTTGTTTTCATTATCCCCGAAGTTTCTACTCGTCCTGGGCTCAGTCTTACAGGGTGCCCATGTATTTTGCGATGGCTAAACGCTTAAAGTTTTTTCTTGAGACAAATTCGTTTGTTTTCAGCCATCTCATCGTAAGCGCCATAGCGTGGTGTATAGATGCGGCTAACTCGTGCTCACTATTCTATCTAGCCTCAGCATCCGTTCTGCTATAATGCCAATTTGGACTCGAGGTCCTTTAGTCACGAGTTGCAACTCGCCTTAATCCCTAGCGCGTTTCTTTCAGTTTTTTTGTATATTTGAGTTGTTTGTGCTGCGAAGACCGTAGTAGCGTATACAAAAAGCAATATTACCTAATGAGGTCTGTCCTAGCCCTAGGCAGCTAGGCGCTGGAAGATGATGCATTAGGAAAATAAAGTTGTCACGCACTTTGGGCTCCGGACACTCCCAAGTAGTCATAAATGTTGACGGAGGCGTCTGGGTCTGAGTTTACAATAAAAGGAAGATGCTTCCTGGCTTTTAACACGTTGTTGCTCAAATAGCGAGGTTCTACCCCCTGACTAGTAAAGCCTGTTTATAAGCCTGTTTTTCGAATAATAGGCTGCTATATGTCGTAGCTCTTATATCTTACTATGCTTCTTCTTTCGATTATAGTATCTACCTAAAAAAGGCCGTGAGCCTCTTCCCGTGGGAATCTGTTTTTGTTTACTCAAATATTATGTGACGTTGTGATGGGTACTGATTTACCGTGATGATTAAGCTCCAATTTTTGGTGCTGGACAAATAAAAGTAGCAGTTCACTTGTCTTTCGCTTCGAAGTTTGTAGTTAGCAGTTAAAGTAAATTGGGTTGATTGATGCAGATTCCCTCAGATGTCAAGTAGCATATGTTTCTTCCTCTCCGCAGAGCATTTGCAGCATTTTTACATTTTGTGAAATTCACATTGTAATAAGTGGCAGCCATCTTCCCCTGGTTCCCATCGTCGTTGTAAAAACATTTGTGAGAAAAACGCGACATTTTGCTGTTTCCACGGCACGGAAATCTGTTCCTCTATCGTAATACTTGATACGATTATCGTTGAATTCAGTTCTTCGCTTGAAGTTCTGTTTGAGCTGGACTAGTACTGCTCTTTTGATTTGGCCAGGGTTTGGTTCGTTTTGGAGCATGTACACTTCCAACATCTTCAATAAAATTATCTTCTGGTTTGGTGCCTTTCTTCAAGATGAATGGAAGAAAGTTCCTGGTTTTTCTTGGTGCCTTTCACAATAGCTGAATTATGGGGAAAAATGAGCACCTTTTTGCACTGTCTCTGCACCTCGTGTGGACTTCTGCTATCTTATTCATTTACTTCTTATTACTATTTTCACCTCGATTACGAATTAGCTGCAGTCGCCGAGTGAATTTTATAAGCTCTGGAATATTTGACTGATCTCTTAATCTTTAGCTTTTGAATTTCATCAGGTGCAGGAAACGATCAAGTGTAAAGTTGATAAAGAAATTATTTTGCCAAGTGACTCTGCTGGAGAAATCAGGGTCAAGGTTATATGAGAAATTTCTCCAAGTAGCACAGTGTAGGTAACTTTTTTTTACAAATTTTCGATGTGAATTGGCGCAGGGTGATAAATTTGCATCTGCAAAAAGACTACCGGATATCATGACAAATTTGTTGGTGATGACACCGTTCTATAGTTCGGGCTTAGGTTTCCGCTTTATGCTTGGCTCCCATTTTGAATTTATATATCTGGTGACTGCCTAATAAGGAATGCTGCAATGCCAAATTTTTAGCCCTTATAATTCTTCCAAAAAAATCGAACAAAGTTTTAACAGTTTCATTTGGGAACGATATTCATATGAATTATTAGGGAAAGTTATTTGACAAGGAGTGTTGAAGTGTTCTTTCGTTTGTTAATATTTTAGAGTTTTCTTTGCAACTTATCTGCGTTACAATAACATTGTCCGTAAACAGGTTCCTTTTTTTTCTCCAAATTAAACTGTTGAATGAGGATTTGACTACTTTATCGGGAAACAGGTTGTTACTAGGGTTCATACTTTGGACTTCATGATTAAATTATACTCCCAGTTTTCTGTTTGATTTGTAAATATAAATTTTTTTCATCGTCGGTGTTACAGACGCCTACGCAACCATATGTAAAACGAGCTCGGGCCGGTGGCAGTAATCAGGCGGCTCCTCCGTCTGATAGCGTCGCTCTGGCATTCCAGCAATTGCAATCAGCAAGTCAGGTATGCAGCTCTAAATCGAGATTTTTTCGGCCTTCAGCCCTCAGATCATTTTGCTCTATGTTGTGTGATAGGTTGTGCAGTCCTTGGCGACTACTTTATAAAGAAGCTAATCGAAGACAGCTGCAGTGTCGCTTCTAATGATGTTATTATTTTTCGATCGGAAACGTCCGAATTCAAATATCACTTCCTACTTTACTTTTCCCCGAGAAGGCATAATATGTTTGTTCTGTAATTTGCGGCCAAGTTCAAATTCCCTGTCCTGATTAGTCCAAATCTTGCAGTTTCAAGGAAGCTCCAATAAAGAATGCAGTAATTGACTCCTAATCCATCGAATGGCTCAACGGTTTCTCTCGATTTGTCCATCGAACTAAATAGTCATCTTGGTTGTGTTTCAGTTGGCCAATCCATTCAACTTTCTTGAGAACCTACCAAAATCGAGTGAAGTAATCAACATTTCCGCTGGTTATCCAGTAGAGGAGGAGGAACAAGAGAACGTTCATGAGGTTTGTTTCTTGACGTCCTATTACATTGACGTGTGAGATGCTGACCGTCTCTTTGAACTTAGTGCTAGTTGTATTTGTAAATCCTACGTTTTGTGATCAGAGAGCGCCACTATCTTGAAATTCTTTAATCCTTTTCTACCTTGTATCATGTGAAAGGCTCTAAAAATGAACGGAGTCGTATTGCTGTACTTTTTCCTGATAGGATTAACATTGCGCTAATTCTTTCGTAGATTTCCTTGTCAAGAAACTTTTGTTGGAGTTAGGATTTATTTGTAATGCTGAGCTGAGTAGTCATTGCAAAGGCTAATATTGCGTAGTTTTTGTTGTGGTTGGCTGGTAGTGGCTCAGACTCCATTAACCAAAATTTAGTAGTTTGCAGTAAGTTAAACTTCCGATGTTGAAGAATGAATGTAATTGTTAAGGAGATTCAAGCCGGCTCGTCGGGAGGCTCTCTGGCTGGTGATACAGCTTCGCCACTCCGTGAAGACGCCGCCACTAGCGGTGGCAGTCCATCAGTGACGTCGACGAATCAATTGAGCGCTTTCATGAATATGGCCACTAATCCGCTGATGTGGAATGCAATGCTGTAAGCACATAACATCTTGGATTTATGTTGTCTCGTTCTTGGAATGTTTTCATTCATGTTTTTTGAGAACGCTAAAACCTTTTCGGTGAATTTGGCAGTAGTGGTAGTGCCTGTAGTCTGTTGTAGTTGGATTGAAGAATGAGAGAATCCGCAAACGCCGACGCTATGACTACCGCTTACAAAAAACCCAATACACTTTTAACTCCGTGCTTTCTTTATTCTCCAATTCTCCTTTAGTGGATATTTAGCGACTAGTATTTCAGTGGGTACTTCGCTTTAGCAGTATTTCAAAAGTGTGACATTGGAAAGATTGTTCTTTGATATCAAATCCATCTCATTTTAGAGTGAACACATCCACTCATGGATCGGCCTTTTCCCTAAACGATGGGCAGTGCGTTTCAATGCTCATGAAAATGGCTCTCGACCTTGATCTCACTCTGTCCTATCACAAGAGAAGGTAGGATTTTTCATCGTATACTTGCTTAAGAAATTGTATTGTTCCGATGAAGCAATGGAATTTTCCCAGTGTGATGTCTTTTTATTTTCCCATGTTTTTCAAACTACCTCTTGTAATTATTGTAACGATCCAGACGGGAGATTAGAGATGTAATTCGTTACCGCCTACCACTCGCCCAGCACTAGAGCAATCTGACAGAAGGAAATACAATAAAAATACAAGTTTTAAAACAATCTTCACCGAATGAAAGTGATGCCTGTTGATTAAATGTCTGGGCTACAATACATCATTTATACTACAATGATGTGACAAATCTCCTGCACCCTGTTTGAAGATTCATTCTGAAGATTCATTTAAAAAACGATTTGTGTGTAATATTTTTTAATTATGTGACAAAACAAGTATTTTCAGGGGTGATATAGAGCTGTGCTTCGAAAGTAATCGAACAGCAGAGAAAAGCGGAGGGCGAGGCAAGGTTCTCTGTCTATCAGATATGGGCAGAGAGATAAGGTACAGGTGATAGCATGTTTAGTGCTACGTTTTGCATTATTCACTTTTCATCTTTTCGTTTTATTTGCTCCTTTTTATGCGTCACCGGAATCATCCAATGGGTAATTATTTTCAGAGTAATCGAAAGAGTGAATGGCACGCCAACTGACACTGAAATGTGGACCAAAACTGATTTTAATCAATTTCATTGGGCGATTCGTGGCAAGTGCCAGAAGGTATTGGTGAAGAGCTAGAAATCTGTGTTATATGGGGTTTGTCATGTTCTTGTGAGTCACTCCAAATTGGTGCCGAAATCAATTTACATAGTTTTTCATTGATCGTTGATTAATTTCATCTTTATGATGTTCACGAGACCAAATATCTTCCCTCACTTTCTCATACTGCCTCCAAACAGCCACCACCGCGTCCAACGCTTTCAATTCGATACTGTCTGCCTTTGTCCTCCGTCCAACGGACCGAATTTTTCTGTTTTTTCTTCTTTTTTAATTGTGTTTCTTTTTGTGTTTCTCTCGATTCATGAAAAAATCTAAATATGGAGTTTCTATTGTGATATTCTGATTTTAAGTTGTCTATACTGCTGTCATCTATGTCTCCTTACCCGGCTCGAGTGAAACATAATCGTGTATTAATAGGTTTTCCAGTGTCCTCATCAACCCCGTGATTATTCCCCCTGGCCCCCGTCCTGCCTGAATTCATTTGTTTGATGGGGTCAATGAAGACTCCCTGAGTGCCGACTGAAGCGGGTCATATATTACTGTCATCTTTTTGCCGTTTCCCCCTTTCCACCCCTGTCCTAAGTGTTCCTCATTTCTCTTTGCCGTTTACTAGGTGCTGATTATACTGATGACACCCGGCGGAAGTTCTTTATTCTGTGTATGATTTCTATTGATTTTAGTATACTGTAATCTGTGTATGTATGTGAATTTGTTTGCCTGTGTGTCTTTAAGGGATTGCTTATATTCCTATGGAGACTATATATTGAGACCAATAAACTATATTTAAACATTTACAATTTGTCAGAGTAGTGACTAAAGGTTCTGCCACGGGTTCATCTGGTTGCTGATACATGTCCCATACCTGCCGGCTGAAGATGGGGCAGTCTGAAGACAATAGTGATCATTTTTGGCCGTAATGGAGTGCGCCACGCACACGTTAGCTGCCAATCATGTTAAAAAGAGTGGACACAGACGAGAAGATCGCACAGCTAACCCTAACGATTTGGGTGGTCGCCGACAGAAATCTAATGGGATCGAAGTAACGACCTCGCCAGTCAGGCGATGTGAATGCCGCCCGTATGAACCAAAAAAGCGCATAGATTCAAATCTGAATTGTAATGCGTCAGTTATTGATAACGAATTGAAGGGGCCTTAGTTTTGGGATGTTTCACATACATACATTTACATGGTTTTTCCAAGTGATACTGAAAAAAAAATCAAGAAAGGAGCTGTATACCATCTTTTTTCTAAGGGAACGCGACTCCGGGTGCGGTTCACTAGGACAGAAAGCGACTTTTTCGCGTTTCGCAGCGCGAAACATTTTTCGCTGCAGGAACCTCAGGTCCACCGCTGATCATGAGGAGTTCCTGCAGCGAAGTGTTTCGCGCGTGAAACGCGAGGAAGTTGCTTTCTGTCTTGGACCACACCCCGCGACCCCCTCCCTCAATGCTGTCCTTCCTCAGTTCTGGAAAGGAGGGGAGACAGGGTTTCGTTTAGGACCTGCCATTAAATTGTTTAAATGCTGTGGAGCACTCCAGTCCCTTCTCCAACCGTTGAGACGAGAAAAAGCGGAGAGATGCTATCTGCAATCTTGTCTCCCTCAGCCTGAGGATAGAATTGAAGGAGGGAACGCATCCTTCGGAAGAAGGAAAGCAGACTGACCATGGTATGACCCCGTGACAGAGCCTATGTTGCGCTGAGAGAATAGACAGAACGTTCCGGGACGGACGCAAGACGCCCGTCTCTTCATGAACGATCGCCTACAGTCCATTACTAAGCTCTATCAAGGGAAACTGTAGCGCGATTCTGCTCTTTTATGCCGAAGCCCGATCTCGTTGTTACATATACTCAACAGAGTAATTTAATCCGACAATAGTCAGCCAGGGCGCTGGAAGGCGTACTCGAATTGTGGCTCGAAATGACCATGGAAATTAATGGATCAAAGCAATTCTCATTCACTACTCACTAGGTAATACATGGGCTAGCGCATGTCGAGAGAAGGTGTGCGGCGGATTCATCGACAGACCGGTCCTGTCGCGTCTTGCATTGTGCAGACAGAGAAAGAACAATACTGAGCGATTTCGATGCAGATCAGCGTGGGGGCCTTTGCGAAAACCGAGGAGAAGCGTCGAGTGCAGACCACACATTTCATAAGTGACGAGTGCAAGAAAGAGAGGAAAGGCGAGCGCATGTTTTTGCGTGGCGCGTCGTCACTTGTGATGTGTGTGTCTGCGCACTCGACGCTTCTTCGTTTCCAAGAGTAGGGGATTAGCTGCCTTCGCCCGAATGCAAAAGAATGAATACATAGTGGTGAGTGGTGGTAAATGGGGAGTTGAAGGATTGAAAGAGGAGAGCACTTGAAATTGTCTGATCTTTTTTTGGAATGCGCCGTACATCCTATCTTCATTCAAAACCGTGTTGGCATTTGTGTATCGATTCGGGCCTATGATGTACCGATTTCGCGAGAGGCAGCGCGAGTGTGAGAGTCAGGTGTTCTTATTCCGAAGCAAGGCCCTTGAACGACCAATCACTTGAGCAGGGTGAAAATCGTGTCGAGGAAATAACCGCCTCTTTACGACCCCCCTCCAAAACATGGACTCTGATACGACCCCTTTTTGTCCTCTGCACATCCGGTTTCATATCAAAAAATGCTAGTTTCAGATGTGCGAGAGGGACGCAGCGCCGCTGCCACGCAAATGCGGCTTGATCCAAATGCTAGATTCAATTCTGCTCAGATTAGGTTCTCCTTCTTTCCTTTAAAGACATTTAACCTTTGCCACATTGGCCGGAAAGTAGAACATTGAAGGAGGTACTGCCCCTACACAGTTGAACAGTCTCGCGCTCCAGTATAGCGGCGCTAACTACCCGCGATCGCGTCGCGCGCTGTGCCTAGAGCGCGCTAGTTGGAAAAATCGTCAAATGTACCCCCTATTTAAGGACTATAACTTTCTTCATTGATAACCATTTCAGAAAGTGAAGGCAGCTTTTGAATGCACAAGACTTCTAGTTTCTAAATTGTGCTGAGCGTTTTTCTAAGCACGCCTATTCTCGAGAGTGGGAGACGTCGAGAAATTGTCGAGGAAATTGAAATTTACATGCGAGTTCCCACTCTTTGGAAGGCAGTAGCTGTCTTCATTGGCAATGCTTTGAAAATCGGAGGAAAGCGTTGTAAAGTAGAAGATTTACGCTTTCTGATAGGTGCTCCAGTTGTTTCGATCGCTTTCTAGTTCGCGAGAAATCTGCGTCGAGGAAATGTCAAGGAAATTTTCGAAGCCACTCGAAAACTCTATTACTCCCTCGCCGTAGTAGGGAACTTCTTTGAACACCTTCAAAACTTCTGTACACGTCAGTTCGATGGAGTAAATTGAAAATGATGCACTTGGCGCGGATCCATTCCGTTCTTGTATGCGCCATGCAGTGACCCCACTCGGAGTCATTGGGAAGGTGTTTTGTCCTAGTGACGACTTGCTTAAGCACACCAAAAGATATTTCCAGTATTAACTAATTAGGATAACTCTTGTGGTCATAGTGATGTCTGATCATTCCTTTATTCAAATCGCTTCCTTTCCAACCCGTTCTGATGAATGACACGCTTGCGGTTGCAGGATCTGATGATGCCAAGAAGGCTGCGAATCTGCCTGTTTTGAACTTTCTACCAAGATGCTGTTCCTCCACTAAGTTCTCGAAGCATGTACATCATTCTAGAGTAGATACTCGCTGCCCTTTCCCTACGATTCTTTTGCAGGACGCGTTGCCTTCCTATGCCATACTGATCACTACGAACCAAACCAACACACCACTTTCCATTTGAATTTTAATTCCAGACAGTGTAAGATATTATTTGCATTAGGCTAACTACAACACTTGTGAAAGTAATGATGACAGCAAATAAGTGGCAGCAGCACCGTTGTGTCCGTTGATGAACCTTTTGATTACGACCCCCTCCCAACTCTCATCGGAGCAAATACGACCCCCTGTCGAGGATTTCCTCGACCGTTATTCACCCTGCCTCGAGGGGAAGAGGGCCTGTTGGTCTGGACGACGCATGATGCAGTATTTGATCCCCGGGCCGTGTGGTAAGCAGCGCCATTTTACCACTACACCCCCTCCATACGTTCCTATTTAGGGGTTTCGTTTCAGTCGAAGTTGCTGCTTCCTCTCCTCCTTGACATGTCTGATACCAATTACCCAAGAGAATTAAGACTCGGTTGGCCTGTTCGGCACACAATACAGGATTGGGTTCCCGGTCGTTGCTCGGGATATGGCATCTGTTAGCAGTTCCACTTGCCATCCTACTTCCACATCATGCGTATTTGATACCCATTTGGCCTATTTATGTGCCACTACAATTTTGAAATTTAGTAGGAGATATGGACCAAAGGGGAATCGACCAACAGTAAGTGTTTAGCCTTCAGTTCGTTTGAATAAAAACCTGAATTCAAATAGTTTGGAAGGAAGGGGAGCGACCAGAGGACTGAAAAGGAAAGGAAACAGTGTGAGATATGAAGAGTGATTGTAAAGAGGAGAGGTTTGAAAAACAATCGGAATATGGAGGGGAAAAATTGCTCTCATCCTTGGCCTTCAGAAAATGTTTCAGAAGAGCGAGGTGCCCTCAGAATGGGATTTTTTGAGGATTTTGATAGATCCAGCAAATTCGCATAAACCTCTTGTAGAAAAAATCAAGTCACTTATCGATCTAACTTTGATATGAGAGTCATGCGTGCTCAACGGGTTCTGAGTTACTGTTATAACTAATTGAAGGAGGAATGTGAACAGACTTGGAGATCTATTAAAAATAGTCTGCTACATTTCAACTATTTTTAAGATGAAGCTCCTTTCTTTCACCGAAGATTAAGGCCCTCGTTTGGTTTTTACCGGTCCCTCATAACGCAAGCATCGGCACTATTGCAATTTAGGGGGTATTCTCTAGAAATAAGCTCAGGAGCGGTAGAAAATGAAAATAACTGACGCACCCTGGAGTCTCTCAACCTCCTCCTCTGCCCAAGGCTTAGCCCCGT